ACCTGGCAAATGGGCCCCCACCCAAGGGATGCCTAGGAAGGCGGTGGCCGAATGCCCAAGCAACGCCTTGGTCTCGCTAGCCCAATGCTGACCAGGAGGCGCTCCCTGCGGTTTCGGGCAGGGTCCTTTCCCAGCCCAACCCGGAGGAGCGGGGGGGTTTGAGACCGGGGCCTTCTGCACGGGCTTGGCCCCAAAGCCAGCTCCCCCAGCCACACTCGAGCCTCGAGAAGCCACCCTGCGGTGTTCCTCTGTTTGCAAGACACGCTTTGCCCAGGTTCTGAGCAAGCATAAGACCCAGTGACTAATATCCCCCACGAATTTGACTAATCTCCTTTAAGCCAGAAGAGCCAGGGCCTTAATCAGAGCTGGAAACAATGAATTCTGAAACTTAATTATACACTGTGGGCTCCTTTTGTTTTAATCAGGTGACAGCGCCTCTTCTAGCATGATCTGCCAGGGAGGAAAAGGAACAAGAAGGACCCCCTTGCACGATGCCAGGACTACTTTTATAATCCTTTCCTCACGATTTAGTCCTTGTGCTTTCCACACTCAAGCGGCCCAGCAGCTTTAGTTCTCCCTCAGCCCGCAGATGATTTCACTGGCCACTTTGGCATCTCTCCCAATATTATACTTTCCTTACAGAGAGGAGATGGCCACAGAGGCAGAGTTTTTCCACTCAGTTATTCTGCCGTGTCTCCTTCTGCTTGTGCCAGAGAATTGTGATCCAAGCACCAGGTGAAAAGTTCCTTTCCTGCGTTTCCACTGCGCAACCTCTAGGTAGCACTAGGCTACAGCAGAACAGCACAATTACAGAAATGGAAAAAGTACTTCGTTTCGATCGATATTATATTTTTCCTTCCGAAAGAATCATTCTAACAGTGCCGCTTAAAAAGCAAAGTCTAACTGGAGGGCCGTGATATCCTCTAAAGAGCCCCTAAAGAACTGTGAGTAAGGGATGGTGGGTACACAATAAATACCATGTGTATTTGTGTAAATACCACGTACAGGGGCCAGCCAACCAGACAACTGGGGAAAGGGAATTATTACACCATCCAGAATACCAGTTTGGGATTTCCAAATACCTAGACGTTGAGTTGTGTGGCATAGTTGTAGTTCTACAGAAGCATTACATGGGAACTCTTGGAAATAAAAACAGCAACTCCAACCCTGAGGATCACAGTGTTCTGGCTCCTTCCTACAATTGCATCCCTTTCATTATTTTGAGAGCCACAGCCAAGAAAAGAAAAGATGCAAGCCTTGGGCATTTAAAGGAAAAAAAATACCCATTTAAAGACAATGCCTGCATTAAAAATAAACAAGCAAACCATTCACATTTTTGCAATAACTCCCCAGAACAGGAGTAGGCAGGAAACAATTGTAAGTTGCAATCCTATGCGCATGGAAAAGAGAGGAAGCCTGCCTGAACACAGAAGAGGGGCTCACTTCTGAGTAAATACACAGGATTGAGTCCAAGTTTAATATATTTCAAAATAAACTGTTCTTTTGCTCGGTCTTTAAATTACGATGTGCCTTTAAAAAAAAATAACACCGCTCCATTGCTCAGTTGGGAAAGCTGGTCCCAGAGCATCCCTTCCGCTTGGAACATCTCTCCACATGCACTCGCTAACCCCAAAATCACCCCTCATCTGGTCCTTGGTGCCCACCCTCCAAACCTGCCCGTTCCTCCCAGAGCTTTGGGGTCCCACGGTAGCTGCAGGTGCCTGGCCCTGTGTGGGTGAGTTGCATGATTGTGATTCGGGGCAAACCTTGAGGGCAGAACACTGCTGGCATGTTTTATTGCAGCTTGGAGCAAATGAAGAGCGATCCTCCCTTGGAGGTCAGAAAGAGCCGAGACCGAGCAAGGAGCCAAGCAAGATGGATGGAAGTCTTAAACCACCGTTCTTCCGTCCTCGGGATGGCACCTGTCTGGGGCTACGACTGCCATGATGCCTGGCCAAGGGCCACCCTGGCTGAGGCTGATAGGAGTTGTAGTCCTGTACATCTGGAGGGTTGCTTAAAGCCCCGAGTCTCCAGGGATCAGCATCTTCGCCTGGGAAGAGCCCTGCGAGGTCACCCAACCTTCCCTTTTCCCTGGTACCCAACCGGACGCGGCATCCCGATCCCCGGAGTGGCTTGGCGGAGGCCTAGGAGCTGCCCACGCACAGCAGTGGTGCAGAGAAGCAACGCAGCATGTGGGGGGGGCGGGGGGGCTGCAGGGCTGGGACGTTTTCTGTAGTGGGGCAGCAACATCCTCTGCGCTGCACCAGGGCTCCTGGGGAACCTCCCTCGTCCGGGCAGGCGGATGAAGGGACGGGGCCGGTCGGCTGGGGCGCTCTTCGCGAAGAGGCCACCCGTTCCCTGCAGTTCCTGGCCTAAGGTCAAAGGCCCTCTGCCACAGACCTGCCCAGGACTCTGGTAAGAGCAGCCCCTGCCCCCTCCCTGGGCCCTGCAGGGCAAGAGGGAAGGACAGGGGGACACGGCAAAAAGAGAGATGCCTTCCAGCTTTGGACCCCCCCCC